AGTCCTTAACTTTAAAAATCACAAGAGTACAAGAAAAGAAATTCTTTCAGAAAGCTGCACAGAAACATACACCGTTCAGAACATTCACTGTAGACCCAGAATGTTTTTGTAAGTTATTCCTACAGACTTACCACCACACTTCCTCCTGGCCCCTGACTTTGGACAGTTACACCCATCCATTGGTCTTCTTTACTCTCGTTTGCTGGGTCAGCTGCAAAGCATCACAAATACGCTTTCAAATATTAACTTTTTGTCTCTGTAAGGAGCTTCATACAGTACATAAGAAAGTCTACAGGTGGCAGTGTCTGCACATTTTATCACTGACAACATCCATTTTAAGCACTTCTACCACATTGTGTCCTGTCCCATCAATTTACAAAACATCCAAATTAGCCAAATTTATGCACCTTATGGTACTTTAGCAATTAAACTACAACTTATTCCAATGCAAAGTAAGTTATGTACAAATCCATAGAAGTAACTTTCTGACTGTTCTGAAGTAACTTTCTGTCTCTGACTTTCTGAAATAACTTTCCAGTCTGTGGAAAGGACCCCATCAAATAAGAAAAATCCAACAACTGTTTCAATCCTGAACAGAAGCACTGAAGAACTTACTTTCCTCATCAAATACGACACGTGTGCAGCGTGTATTTGAAGACGTGATGTCACAGCTGTATAGCCCTCCTGTTCTGTTGGCTTGTTGGGATGGAAAGGCTTTTTCCCGAGGAGCTCCAACCAGCAATCTGTAGGGAAAGAGAAATCATTTCAAGGGATCTGCAGAGGCAGTATTAGAAAAGAAGGCAGCAGCAGAATCAGGAAAATGTTCTTACCATGTTGCTGGAGGTTTGATGTGCAAACATTTGGAGATAAAGAAAAGGATACAGTAAATACAACTACTTTCAGACTCTTCTAGTTTTACACCAGTCCTGTACCACCATCCCCCATGAATATAACAAAAATAACCAGTAGACATCTTTATTTGCTCAACAAGAGTTTTCAGCCAAAAAAATTAGTACTTCAGATACTTTTCTTTGATGAGTCACATACATGCAGAGCACAGCAACCTCTCAACTTGCTAACTGAAACTAATAACAACCAGCATGCAATAACAGCACAATTTAAGAGAATGTAAAAACAAACAAACAAACAAAAACAAAAAAAACATCCCATTCAGCTGAAAAAAAAATGAGGATCAGAGAACAGTGTATAATAGGTACAATATAGTAGATACAACATATGGATAGCTGAACTGGAAGCACTCTCTGTGCTTACTAACACTGGTTAAAAAATAATCTGAAAGAAGTGATCTCTGCCATTACAGTACAGAGGAGGACAGAGCCTGGTCTACTGCTGGATCCACAAATCTCAAAGAGGAACTTGGACCCTCTTTAAGACTTAAGCTGTAGAGTTTTGCTCTTGAGAGAGAAGTTTCTCCACATGCTTTATATCACCTGTGGGGCAAAGCACACTATTGTACCTCAGAACATTTTTTGTCGTTTTTTAAACTAAAAACAAGATAGATTTGTTCATATCTAAGCTACACCAATAAAAATATTTTTGTTATTATGAAAACATTTACTCAGTATCACTAAAGTAATAAGACACAAACCAAAACTGATGCATTATGAGAAAACACATTTTTTAAACAGAGTTATATGTATATTGTGAAACAGCCATTTTTCCCCTCAGTTTTATATAAAAAAATCTCCATAATTTGCCCTCACAAAGATGACCCCCACTTGAATGATACAATGTCAAGATAAAATATTTGCTTTTGATGGATATATATACAAAATCAGGACACACAGTTTGGATGGATTTTGCTTTAAAGTGCTTCCTTCTTTTCCCCCTACATATGCCTGCCATGTTTTTCAAAGATTTCTTCAGAAATGTAGCATTTATCACGAGAGTGTTTAATCCAAACAAACACACTTTTAGAAAGGTCATTAATAACTTCATTTTCTAATTTTGGCAATAGTGCATTTAACTCTAATCTCTTAATTCTTTTGCAAAGGATTAGTTTCTGAGCTATTCCTAATGTGGGAAGAGGTATATTTTCCTCCTCAGTTGTTACCCCTATGGGAAGACACATGACATGGGCTTTTTTTCTTCTCATTTTAAATGTTAACAACTAGAAGTTTAAGACAGCAGAGGCACTTATTTCCTAACTCAGAAACTTTTATTATTTCTATTTTTTTCTCATTCAAAACCCAGGGAATAAAATGATGCACCAGATTTCACTCATAGAAATTTGATCAGAAACCTTTTGTTTCAACATTCTGAGCACAACTAAAAACTTTGGTGAATTTAATAAAAAGTATTTGAATTACGGAAGACCAATACATATACTAGTGATGGCAAGAATGCTAGACGAAGAAAATTAATATCCTGCTCTTTCCTATGGGACATCTATTCCAATAGGGTAATAGGATATTATAACCTCCCCCTAGCTAAATGATACCTTTTATGACATACCATGACAACATGACCATAATCTTTATGACAATGGGAAGACTTGTAGAGGCATCAGGGATAAACAGTTTAGCCAACAGAAGTCAAAATGGAAAGACGCCACCTGACAAAAGACAGCCACAACTTGCTACAGCATCTCAGACACCTGTTGAGGTGAACGATGCAATGCTAAAGGGTAAGTGAGGGTAAAGCAATGCTTTAGCCTTTGCTACACGTGTCAATACAACATGATCTCCAAAGGAAATGTTACCTTAGATTTTTCCCTGTGCCCATACCCATTAGCCCAAATTTAAATTTTATTATTTTCCTCTGTAAAAAAAAAGGTAATCCAAAACACACTAATTTAAAACCCTCCAATCTGCAAGGAAATTTTGTCAGGAATCCTGTCATTAGTCTTCAAGGCTCACAAAACACAAAAATCTCAAATCCTGCTAGGTACCTCACTGCAAGTCTTTATTCACAAAACAATCCAACAGCAGCACATGCTGTGAAAAAACTCTTGCAAAGAAGTAGATCAATTCAGTTAGATACTGTGGTAAACATTAGCATCTATTTTCAAGTAGCAGCTAAAGAGGTATTAAAAAGTGGAGTACCTCATTTGCACTTCTTTGCTACATACCTGCCCCAAATGCCACAGTAGAGTAGACTAAACCTACACTTCTAGGTTCTGCAAGACAAATTACTGAAGAAGATGAGGATTAGACATTATTATCAATATTATTAGGAAATGTGAGTAAGAAAGTCATATTCATCTTATCTTTCACTGAATAAATCAAGTAAAACATAGAAATCCTTTCTTTGTCAAGCATATTTATACTTGTAACCAATATAGCTGCTGTTCGCCTTTCCTACTGCTCAAGAGTTAATCTGAAAAAAAAAAAAAAAAAGAACAATTTATTATAGAAATCAAATGACCTAATTTAAAACTAAAGGCATGGAAATGAGAAAGTATGCACAAAAGCACAAAGCTAAGGGCGTATGACATGGCTCCATAAGCCTTTGTGATTTTCAGCATGCCATCAGGAGCCCAAACGCATCAGATTATGCCATGCCTGTAAGAGCTGTGCTGCATGCTCAGCTGAATCCTTCCAGACTGAGGACACATTCCAGTCATTACTGTATTGCTGCTTATTCTGCTCTGTTTTAATAGAAGAATTTTAATAAAGTTTCAGCTTATTGTGCCAAAAAGCAGGTTCAGTTCTTCTGCAGCTATGCACGTTCCATTTTAGCCTTCTCTGTTGCAAGCAAAACCTCTTCTGCAAAAGGAAAGAGAGAAGAGGGGGATGAGGAGGTGCCTTCCTAGGCACCCTCCTCATCTCCTTATATTAGCAGATAAAACAAGGAAATTAAAGCCAAAGAACTTTGCAGTTGAAGACTGGCAATAGTAAGTTCTTCATTTTTCCCCACCATAATATAATCATAATTCCATTGTAACTTCTCTGTTACGGTGTGCACAGGCTACACTCAAAACGTTGTAATGCCTTAATGCCCCAAAATCAGGCTCTAGAATCCATTATGGTTAAAAGACTGCCAAGTCAGTTGGAGATAAATACCCCCAAGACTCCAGAATATGGGCATTTTACTGAGTTTTCTATCCCATGGCAGGCTTGTTTTATTACTATGCAGATAAAAGAAGCTCAGCCATACAACATCCTGAATGTAGATGTTTTTCAGCACCAGTTCCTGTTGGAGCCTGAGCTTTTTAGGAGCCAAAAGGCAGACCAAAAAAAGGTTTATTCTTCATGTAAATTACAGAATCAGATGCTTCTTATTACTTTAATCCTGATTTTCACCATTTATCTTGCTTAAATACAGGCTATAAACTGATTAGATTTTCCATGAGCCAATCAGAGTGCATGAGCATTAAGTGAACTTCTGTTAATATTTGATTACGTTACCCCGAATAAAAATGCCACTTCTATAGATTGAAAGAACTGTCTAACAAGTGACACTGCTGGAAAAATGCAGAATCTCTCACACCCTGGCACGATGCTACAATGCTCTTTAACTCCAATTATACCCCATAATTAAAACACGCACTTTCCGATTTCGAACTAAAATTCTAGTCTCAGACCAAATACATCAGTCCTGTTGCTCTACTGGCTAGAATTAGATTAATTATTGCTTTCTCTTAATTACCTCTATGGAGACAGTGGTAATAACTGAAGCCCCACTGACAATTATGAGCATCTGCTGGCTGCCAGGGACAGATTTACTCCTTTACAATCCTAGATTCGTGGCCAAACTTGAGATAATTGCACAGGTAGAGCTCCAGGCCTGTACATGATGCCAGTTAAACTAATTCACCTCAGTGAGAGGTAGTTTTTGCTCAGGTGGGCTGTGCCTGCATCATGCAGATGCTGCATGACCACAACCTGCCGCCAGGACAGGCCTGAGCCCTTGCAGCGGGACCAGCATGGGACCGAGGCCCTCAGCAGCATCCCCACCTCACCGCAGCACCCTGCTGCCTTGCACCTGGGCGAGACAGCTGTGTCTTCACCAAAAACAGCCCAACAGAGGTATTAAATCCAAAGCAAAATACAGCAGAAACAGCTTTCCATTTTAACAAGCAATACAGAATACTTAGCAGTAGGGTACAGATCCGAAGTCCTCACAGCTTTCACCAGTAACTTGTGAAGTGCAGTAGCTGCTGTGGCTGCAATATCCTTCTCAGGTAATGAAAACAGCAGTGGGACTTGGAGCAGTCTCTGCTCACAGCTGTCTCAACTCCCTCCAGTACTGCCCATGAAACCACCCCTCACTTACTCCTAAAGGAAAGCTACAGTTAAGGTGAGAAAACCTTATCAAAGGCAACAGAGAAGACCTCCAAGCTCCTGCAAATTTTCCTCTCACTCTGCAAGGAATTCTCTTCCTCGCTTACAGCCTGGAACTTCCTGAGGACAACGTACAGTTTTCACAACATACTTCAAAGAAGAAAAGCTGTCAGCAATTCATTGCAATACCTCTGGAACAAACACTAACTGAAAAGAAAACAAGTCAAAAGGAAGAAGAACATCTTTCAACATTTTTGGCAAGAAAATCTTATTCATCAAAGGAAAAAGCTTCCATTGAGTAAGTTACATTTTGATTTAAACAAATACAAAAAAATACCATGGTCTACACTGAGCCCAGCTACTCTACCTTCCAAAGCTTTCTTCATTCCCTGAATTCCTTTCTTTTCTGCGGTATCTTCTGCCCCAAACAAGGCACCCCATCTTTGCCATCCTTTCTTTAAAAGTAGTAGCAACACATTAATAGTGCCAGCTCTGAGCTTTAACAGACTGGAGTAGAAATCACTGACAGTGTTTCCTGGGTAACTAACCATTAGCCATTTCCATAAATAGAATAAAATAGTCAGTAGTGTAAGTAATTTCCAATTTTGCAACCTTCGTTGAGCACAAATGTCCAATTTAAGGTTGCTATTCTCAGATAACAATGCTGCCACTGCAGACTCTGCTCTTCATTGTGTTTTCAGAAAGACTCCATCAACACAAGGGGGGCGAATCTGGAAAGCGATGAAGCTAAATGCTATGAAACTTCTTCCACTCCTGGCTAGACAGATAGACTCCTGCATCCTTTTTCCTCCCACACGCTCTCCCAGAGTTTCATTCTGTTGATCAAAACAAAGAAAGTAAAGTAACAACCACTAACTCATATTTGGATTAAATTTGTGCTACCAAATTACCAGTCACACTGCCTAGATATGTACCCAATATTTAAAACCTCCAGGCAGAGACCACTGCTCTCAATGCAGACATCTGAAGTACCTTCCACGGGATGGATTTCCAGTATACGAACTTTAGGAAAGAGGAGGATGGAAACACTAAAACACAGAGTGTTTCCACATAACTGAGGCTGGTCAATGGGACAGACACTGCATTTAAATCCAGCTGGCACCACCTCTGCTTTCTGCCTGGATCTGGCTTCTACCAGTTGTTACACAGGCAAGGCAGGAGCACCATGGACTCATTAGCACAGAGATTTCCCTCCACATACACAGGCAGTTAATGGGAACTGGAGACGAACCAAGGGATCAAGCTTCTCAAAAAAAAAAAAAACCAAAAAAAAAAAAACCCTCCCTGCAAAACGCAGCCAGAAACAGTGTGAGTAGGGAGTTTGTTCGCAATGCTTTTTACAGAGATACCCATCATTCCCAGGCTGCTATTAACAGCTATTTTAAGTGACAGATGATTCTCCTAATCTGCGACTCCACAGTTACATTTTCCTACTACCAATGCAAAGCCACGGCCAAGGACACCATCAGTCTCTGTTGCCCGGATGCTTGGCATTTAAAGGATTGTGATTTTCGTTTTATTAGTTCAGCCTTTTTCAGGAAGCAGATTACGGCAGGAGCTAGGAAAAGAAGCCAAAAGCAGCACAAGGACCAGGGCAAGCTACAAAGCAAAACTGGAACTACAAAGCTACCTGTTGTTCTGGAAAGGCCACTAATTAGTGACTTTCTGAAGCCACATGGAAAAATAAACACTTTCCCCTCACAGTCAAGAGCTCAGTCTATATGGATTATTATTTTTTTTTTTAGCAGATCTCATTTATGTTGGTAGAAGGCTTATTTCCCTAGAAAAAAATGCAAGAAATGGTCTGTTCTGTTCCAAAGTCCTATTTCAAAATAGTTTTCCATTTTGTACACCAGTCTTGCTATAACTAGGAGATGCAACACATTCATTATGTCAAATAGCATGTGAAAACTGTATAATAATACAGTTTTAATTTCTTCCTTACAAACTGTACTTTACCCCAGATTTGAAAGAATGAACAACGTATCATGCTAGGAATAGACCTGATACCATAAGTGATACCATAAAACATTTATTAGATTGCTTTATAATTAATCTGTGATAAAATTATAAAAGACATAGTGTTAAAAGGGATTTTCACCCAGATTTTGCGTGGTGGTGATGCCTGTTACCGCATGAAGTCCTCTTAGTAATATGGAGTTTAACTCAAGAAGTGACAATGTGCTGCTAAAGGAAATGAACTTGCGAGTCAAAGTCCTGGCACTCAGCTCCCAACCCAGCCATTGCTCCCAGCCATCCTGTCCACATCAGGTGCAAATCCATGCAAAACCCACCCTTGTCCACAAGCAGCTACAGTGCATTGAGGTGCCACAGCAGGAAGACAAGCTAGCAAGAGTCGTTACAAGAAAGCAGTACATTCAGAGTCAATTTTCCATCCCTGCTGCTTGCTGCTGTTTCACACACCTTCCCCACGCTGGAATCTGGCTCTTGTGCCAGCTACTACCCAAAAACAGGGCTTCTGGTCCAGCACTGCCTGAGCTCCTCCAGCAAAACAGGCTGGTAAAGAAGTGGCTGCTGCTGCTGGGCATGGTCACTCTACAGGCTCCAGTACTCAGGAATTAATATCTTCTGCAACTGGGCTGCTGGCCATTCATACCATGTAGAATTTTAGTGTTCAGATTTACACTTCATCTCATTTGTAGGGCTTGTCTTAGTACTCCCACAATATATGCCACCTCCATTTGAGCTTTAAAGAAATGCAAGGAGTATCACATCATTTGCTAGGTACATGTTTTAGACAGCGAACATGAATATAGAAACAATTGCTCAGACTTTTTTTTTTCCCAAAGAACAACCTGAAAGAGCAGTGCTCCCAGTCAGCCTTTGAAGGCAGTGTCTGTTAGAGACTTAACAACCATAACAGGCATATACCGTTTATCAACATGCCAAGAGCCATTTGAAAAATTGCAGCTTTAATGCAGCGCAGAACAAGTATTTGGATTGAAATATCATTCCTCTACTTATTTCACTGAATGAAGTGTATCAATTTCATATAAGACCACAGTTAAACCATTAAGAGGCATGAAGAGTACAGTAAGTCATCTCACGCTAGAATCCATGGGCTGCAGCTACTACTACTCTCCATGGCCCTCCGTAACATGAAAAGCAGCTACTTCCCAAGCTCACAGAAGCCATCATTCCTTCATCAGTCCATCCACTTTGTGAGGCACTGCTTCCTCTTCTCTACCTTCTTCCCTCTCTCCCCCTTAATCATAGCGGGGAGAGGAAGACAGACATAAACCTCTTGCACTAGATACACAACCACAGAAATGGTGATACGCGATGCTGGCAGATTCACCATCTGACAAAGTTCTTTGCCTCGTTTGGCAAACACATACCAACCTCATCCATGCGAGGCCAAGCCAAGAAGCTGTGCTGAGTTGCACTGTGCTGTCCTATCTGCCAAAATAAGCCCGAGACACCAGAGGCATACACCTAGGGAGCAGGCTGAAAGGCTCTGTCCACAGCACGCAACCATGTGTCTAGACAAGGCATGTACTTTCTCCGTACATAATCCCTCATTAGTATTTCAGAGGATGAGTATACAAACTGCCAGCAAACACAAAGATAGCTGAAAGTCACTTGCACACTAAAGCAGCGTTGAAATAACCCCTTCGTCTTAAAACCATCATAGTCCTGTGTTAAATGCATGCAATAGCATCAACAATTTTGTAAGCTTTTCTTCAAACCATGAACTTAATCACAAAAGCAGATGTGTCACTGGGCAGATGTACTGACTGACACATATCCCTCCCCCTTCAAATTAACTGAAAACACAGGCATTCACATCACTTAGAAGAATGTCAATCCAACAAGGTATTTTTTGTAGGAGAACCAAGTTGTACACCAAAAGGAAATGCCTCAACAGCTGGGACTCTTAAGGAGCCTTTTCTTATGTTACATGCAGATATTGAACCATTGCTCAAATACAGATATAAATCTTATGTTCACGACAAACTTCTCCCTACACAGATCCATGGAGAACATTATGTTTTACTACGAGTAGGAGTGTACAAACAGGGAGAATTTCAACAAGCTTGCAAAATCTCAGAACAAGATTTTTCTGTTTGCAAAATAACTTACATTTCAGACTATGCCAAAAAACCCACTGCATTCTCTACAGCTACATACTGCTCCCCCTCCACATGCATACATGCCTAGCTTTCACATGCTTCCCCTTACCCATATTTTTTTTTCCTATCTTCCACAACTTTCCACTTTCTCACTTGAGAACCTGGAATAATTACTTCTTTCAGGAATTTTAACACCCTATTTTCTTCCAGGCAGAAAGTTGTACAAACAGTATGTCAACTATTACTAGCACTGGATCTGACCTGACATCTAAAGAGGATTTTTCTAGGACATGCAGGAATACAGTATGGCTGAGAAAAGAGAAGAAACCTAACTCTTCAGCAATATTCTGGGGCCAGACTATATAATTATCAAGCATTCTCTATCAGAAAAATAAGCTGAGTGGATGAAGAGTTCACATGGACTTGCACAATTATGCCAGATTGTTAGTAGCTCCTACAACAGTTGGTCGTGTATGGAAAAATAAGAAACATACAGCAAATTTATTATAGCATCTTAGACAAGAAAGCAATGTAGTTTTCACTTAAAGTTGTTTCACACTAAACAAACATGGCCAATTAAATACGATCTGTTTTTATGCACGCTGCTAAGCACAGCCCAGAGAACACCAGCAGGTTTAACCACTATGCAGTTTCAGCAGCTCTGATAACAAAGTGCAAGACTGACTAGCCCTTATGATGCCCTTACAAAAGTAATGCGAAAAGAGCTACAAGAAAAGAGGGACCCAGAAAATTCAACTACACACGAGGACAACATGCTTGCTATCAGCAACAGCTGGCTGCCACTTTTGAGCACTTCCAGGATAAACATGCATTTCCCTCAGACCTTTGACCTGGGCATGTGCTGCTGAGCAAACAACCTCAGGCATTACAGGCACCAGTTGTTCCCTGTGTATTTTCAATCTTGTTCTACTTTATTTCTTAAAGACCTATTTTATAGGCCTGGTTTTGAGGAGGGTATCAATGCCAACTGAACCAGGCAGAAGCTAAACACATTTATCTCCATTTGAAAAATTGCCTTGGCAATCTTCACTGAGAAGGAAATGATGGTAAGTGTCTGTTAGAAAGTCTGCCACTCCTATGGACACTATCAGACTATGTCAGCAAACTCAATTAATAAAAATGCTAATAGCTCCTATTTGCTGTTCCTTGTGTCTCAAGGATCCACAAGGATCTCTGAAAGGAGAAAACAAATGCGAAGATGAAAACAGCTGAAAAGTAACCTAGAAGCAGCAAAATCCAGCAGAGGATCCATAGATATTACCCTGGAGGGGCTCAAGAACATTTTTATGCTGTAGGTTGCATCTAGACAGCGAGCATCCCGTGAACCACCCTTGCTTCTATTCATGACCCTGGGGAACTTCTCCCTTCCAAACACAGTCATAACATCCTCACGCACATTATTACAACTGCTTAAAGGAAATCAGTATTAGAAAATGACATTTTTAGATACAGTTCTGTATCAGGAAACAAGAAAAACAGCCAACACTCCAACAGAGCCAAACACGGCCAGGCCATACGAGCAAATGCTCCCAACAAATCGCAATTTGAGAAACAGTATTTTATACCCTCCACTATCATTTCAAAGCCACACAAAATCTACTGTCTAGTACTTCACAGGGGAATACATCTGGCCTGATCTTTAAACTAAAAGAAGGTAACTACAGCTTTTTTTTTTTCCCCCAACGCAATAGCTTTGGAATTCTCAAAATAGTCCTAACACATGCAATACTCTAGATATCTTAAAGCCAAGGATAAAAGAATACAGTGTATTTGATACTAAAGTCACAAAGGGAGCTTCATTAACCTATGTTTCAGTTCACTTATGTTTAATATACTATTTTTCTTAAAAATGGAAGTAGAACTTCTTTACCCGCATTCACTTTTGGTTTTCTAGGTTGTTATTCTCCTGACATTACTTTCAAAGCGGCAACTTGCTTTTATATATCTCAGTCAACAATATATAATGCTAATAAATACTTCCAGACCACTTTGTATACTTTTTTTTTCAAATATTCCTGTCTTTTACCATAACCTACCATTGCTAAATACCACTATGAGGTGTTAATTTTTTATCTACATTTCACAGTACAGACCACCATGTACTTATTCAGTAATATGGATTTTTGCTTGTTTTTAAACAGGCATTTGCCTAATAAAAAAAAAAAAAAAAAGCTGTATTTCAACCTTCCAGCTCACAGCTAATGTAACTACGCAGTGCTCACTTAAATGTGCCTGTTGCAGGACTCCTGGGAAGCCTGCTCCAGCCCCGCGTGCCCTAGAACACAGCAGCACACAGTACGACAGGCCTCGTGTCATGCATGCTACATACTTCAGATATTTGAATGGCACCCTCCTACACTCCCCATCTTGGTAGAATTCTGTATCCCTTGCTTCATACCCTTATGGAGCCCATGAGGTCACGTTTTAAGTCTGAAGAAGCACCAGAAACGTTCCTGTGCCATTCAGTCAGTAAGACCAGGACAGCAACAAGCTTCAAGCAGCTGTTTGCCAGCTGAAGGCTTCAAGATGCCAGCGCTGAACAGAGCCTCAATTCTTCACCCAGCCTGCAGCTGGCAAGCAGGGCAGAGCAGGCAG